TATAATACTTATATTTTAATTATTTTATATATATTTATATATATTCTTTATGTGGAACCTATTTCTTTCCATTTTCTTACCTAAAAATTGCAAACTATAGACGGTTTATAAAACAGTTTTTAACTATTTAATTTTTCGACTAACTAATCAGGAATTACGACGAATCAGTTAAAAAAAATATTATCAAGAAGAAATTCATAATGAAACTATTTTACGACATAAAAAGTAACATGAGAAATAATTGAAAGCTCACATAAAACGGTTACGAACAGAACAAACAGAAAGAGCCAATGAAAGACACAACATAGAGAACAGTCAATGAGACAATCGGAAAATGGAGGACAGCACATTGTTGATATCTTCAAACCACATTTCCCTCTATATAAAACATGCCTCGACGAGGAAATGGTAAAATGGAGATGGTAGACAACAAGAAACGTAAAAGAAGAGCTGCAGTGCAATGAAGACAGAGAATCAATTTCCATAACCGAGAAGGCCTGCTCAAAACGCCAAAACGAGACGAAGTCAGCTAACCGAGGCAATGGTCGCAAAGAACGATATCAATATCACTCCTAAAGGCACATCTGTTTAGAAAGATAAATGTAGCACAGAGCCATAGAATCAGAGCTTTCATCCATATATTCCTCACACAGTGACAATGACAACTCGTCATTCTCCGTCCAGAGAGATAAGTAACTGAATCCCTCTGAATAACTGAATCCTGAGCTGACATTTATTAGTATTTGATTTCCTTTCCTTGATTAATGATTTGCGATAATTCAGTTAAAGGAATCGTAGAACTATTTGTAGGACACAGAATCAAGACGCAGTGCAACCTTGTTTAAATATATCAGATTATGATATCCATTATTCTGCAGTTTACCGTAATTCGTTACGGAAAAAGCAGTAAGGTTTTGCTTCACAAAAGCATCGTATCGACGCAGTCTCCCCCCTTCCCAGCAGATTTTGGCAACAGCGAACAACAAATTCATCTGTGTACTTACTTTATTTACCTTGGCGTTCACTTCCGGCCGGGCATCCATTATGTATAGTT